CTGGCGGTGGTGGTCCCTGTTAGATGGAGGTCTCGTCGCTCCTGCCAGGGGGGTGGGCACAAAGGGAGGGGGGGGGTAAAACGAGACAGACAGATGCGTGATCACGGGGGGGCCAGGGGTGCAGGTGCCCACCACGGTCACAGCACCCAGTGCCCACCCAGACAGACAGAGATGGAGAGGGTGGGGGGAGGGGAACACACCCCCAGCCCCCCGCATGTTAATGGAGGAAATTAAAAAACAGAAATCTGGGGTGGGGGGGGTGGGGGGGAGGAGAGAAGAGCAGGGTTAGTGTGAAGTCTCCCTGGTGCAGCTCATGGGGACAGAGCCAGCCCCCACCCATGGGTGTCCAGTGGGCCCCCACACACCCAAAGGGCCCCCAGTGAGCACCTAATGGAAACCCAGTGGGATCCCATTGAGAACGCAATGGGAAACCAGTGAGTACCCAAGGATCATCCAATAGGAACCCATCAGGAACCCAATGGGAGCTCAAAGAAATCCACTGAGTATCCACTGAATATCCAGTGGGAACTGAATGGGAACCCAAATAGTACCCAAACAGAACCCAGTGAGCACCCTATGGGCACCCAGTGGGCACCCAATGAGCACCCAATGGCATTCATGGACCTAATGGAACCTAGCGGGCACCCTTCCACTGATGGGCACCCATGTGGCACCCAGCTGGTGTGGGGGACCCAGTGGGAACCCTTACACGCAATGGGGACCCAACGGGCACCCCAGCACTCCATCAGCACCCACTATTCACTGCAGCGCACGCTGGGCATCCGTTGGGCACCCCAGCCCTTAAGGAGCCCCCCCTGCACCCTGGGGACCCCCCCTGCAGCCCCCTGCCCATCTCCCAGCACTCACTCGGAGCCGGAGGAGTCCTCATCCACAGTGCCTGCTTTGATGCTCATGGCGATGGGCGCCGCGCCGCTCAGCTGTTCCTGCAGGCTCTGCCGGGGCCGGGGCCCCCCCGGACCCCCCCGCTGGCTGCCCTCGCTCCCGGAGGAGGCGGCGGTGCCGGCGGGGGGCGGGGGGGGACGCGGGGCGGTGCCGCGCTCGCTGATGGGCGGCAAACCCCTCTTCTTCAAGATGCCTACGGGGACGCGAATGGCACCGGAGGGACGCGGAGCGCTGCGGTAACCCCAGCGCCGCACCCACGGGCGCCCCGTACCTTTGTGGGGGTGAGGGAGGGGCAGCAGCGGGGGCAGCCTTGGGGGCCCCTCACCCCCCGGCACCGGCTCCACGCGCAGCGGTTCCGTGCCTCCGTGCCCGTCGCTCTCGCTGGCCGTTGTCACAAACTCCCCGGGCCAATACGGCCGCTCCGGGGCCACCGCGCTGTCACCTGCGGGGGGGGGGGAAGGCACTGAGCCGGGGGAACCCACGGGGCGCCCAGAAACCCCCCCCTCAGAGCCCCGCTTACCGGTGGGTGTGGGCGGCTGCTCGGGGCGTAGCAGCGCATCCCAGGCGGTGCCGCCGGGTTCGTCCTCGCTGTCCGAGGAATGCGTGGAGCCGTAGGAGCCGCTGGGATCCTCCTCCAGGGAAAGGTCGCTGTCGGAATCGGTGTCGTGCTCTGCGTGCCGGGAGGGTGGGAAGGCAGAACTCAACGGGAGCCGCAGCGCTGCGCTCACCGCGAATCCCGACGCGCTCATTGCGCTCACCGTGCTGCGCGTCCGCAGTGTCCAGGAGCCCCCCCTGCTCCGCCGGCACGCGGCCGCCGTTCAGCCCCGCGTCCTCCCTGCGGATGACAGCGGTGACATCCCGCCTCCCCCCCCTCCCCGCCCCCCAAAACCCGGCTGCGCTCCCACCCCGCACCTGCGCACGAAGGGGATGTAGCTGTGCTGGCTTTTGGCCGCGCTGTGCAGCGATCCCGTGGAGTCCCCGCAGGGCGCCTGGTACAGCCGGCCGGCCACGTACGTGGTGTCACAGCTGTACGCCTGCAGGGACGGGGACAGGGATGGGGACGGGGCGGCGGTGGGACCCCGCGGTGCCCCCCATCCCACCCCATAGTCGTGTACTCACGGTGGTCAGCGTGGATTTGGTGGCCAACGCGGGGTCGGGGCTCTGTGCGCGGGCGCAGGCGGAGCGCAGGCAGTGCCGCACCTCCCGGCTCAGCACCACGCACACAAGGAAAAAGAGGGGGCCCTGGGGTGGGAGGGGGGAGAGGATGGGTGAGGGACCCCGTTCGGGTGCCCCCTGTCGGCACCTCAGGCGGGTGAGGGACAATTGGTGGCACTGGGTGTCCCTTCAGTGGCACCTCAAAGCAGGTGAGGGTCACTCTGTGTCTATGGAAAGTCCCATGCTGACACCCCAAAGTGGGTGTCCCCCATTGATAGTCCAGATGGCTGAGGGATAACTGGTGGCCACTGGGTGCCACCCCAAACCAGGTGAGGGTCCCTGTGTGCCCAATGGTTGCCCCCATGAGGCAGTGTGGGGCTTTGGGGGAATGGAAATATGGGACTATGTGGGTGGAGGGGTACCTGGAGGCAGTTGGAGATGGCAAAGAGGTAGTGGAAGAGGATGGCATCACTGTTGACGGCAAGCAGGGCGAGCAGCCAGGCCAGGCTGGGCAACACCAGCACCACCAGTGCTGTCTGCAGCCCAGAGCTGGGGGGAAGATGACAGTGTCAGCACCCCAGGGCGTGGTGGGAGCAGTGCTGCACATGGGCAGCTGTGCTCCCTGTCCTTCGTGTGCCGGCTCACTCACCTCGTGCCCTTCTTCTCGAAGCCCTGGGGGGTGGCACAGGACGCCCTGGCTGCCAGCACGAGGAAGAAGACACCGACCTACGGAGCAGGGAGTGAGGGAGGGCTGCATGGGGCCCATACCCCATATGTCCCTCATGCCCCTTAACTTCCTTGTGCATCATACATCCCATAGATCCAATATATCCCCCATATGCCCTTATGCCACATATATCCCATACAATCCACATGCTGTCTACGGCCTATTTATCCCCCACATTCCACACATCCCATACACCACGTCCCCCACAGCCAAATGTCCTCTATGCCCTGTATGTTTTATAAACCCCATATGCTCCCTATACACCTCATATACCCAACGTCCCATAATTCCCCCACTCCCCATGTACCCCACACCCCCATATGTCCCCTCCCTATACCCCACATACGTATCCTATACTCCATTCCTTCCCTACGCCCCCACATACCCTACACACCCCATATATCCCCCACACCCCACGTGCCCCCTCTGCCCCATACGCCCCACGTATCCCCATCCTCCGCACCGCCACGGCGCAGGCGCTGGGCCCCGCCAGGCTCCACACCAAGCTGTCATGGATGGAGAGCCAGCAGAAGTCGGGGTTCCCATAGCCCTCAGGGTCCAGCCCCACAGCCAGCCCTACACAGCCACGTGTTGGGATGGGGCCTCATTGGCTGAGGGGGGGTACAGGGGGCGGGGCTAAGTGGGAAGGGGCGTGTCCTACCGGTGATGAAGGCAGGCAGCCCCCAGCCCAGCACGTGGTAGAAACGCATGGGGCCGCGGTCGACGTGCCGGGGTTCGGTGCGGCGCCGGTAGAGGTGCAGAGCCTCCAGCAGCGCCCAGCCCACGGCACTCAGGTGCAGGAACTGCAGCAGGATGGCCACCACCGTGCATGCCAGCTGTGGGGCAGGGGGTCAGACAGGAACCGCCCACCCAAGACCACACCCACGGAGCCACTCCCCCCTCGTAGCCCCGCCCACCAAATGGTCCGCCCCCAGCCACACCCACCAGAAACCACGCCCCCTGAAAAGTCCCGCCCACCTCAGCCCACACCCACATTTAGCCCCGCCCCTATTCACACCCCCACCCCTCCTACATCCACACCCTGCTTAACACCTCCACAGCTCAGCGCCCCCCACCTCCCACGACCCCCCCCATTTATCCCCACCCCTCTCCCATTTCCCCATCAGCTCCACCCCGGTTCGCCCCCACCCCCCCTTCCCGGCCCCGCCCTACCGGCAGCTCAGCCTGGTTGATGCCCAGCAGGAAGACGAGCTGTGCCAGCAGCAGCGCGCAGGCGCCGTGCCGCCGGATGCTGTGACGGTTGGAGCGCAGCCCCCGCAGGGCGCTCAGCACCAGCACGGCCAGCAGCAGCCCCGCCAGCGCCACGCCCAGCGAGCCGTAGGTCAGCGCCGCCAGCGGGAGGATTTCCCCGTTCTGCCGGTACCGAATCGCTAAGCCACGCCCCCTCCGGGGCCACGCCCACGCTTGGCCACGCCCCCTCCCCGGTGCACACTCGTAGTCATTGCCCCGAGGCCCCGCCCACAGCGCCACACCCAATGGGGAACGCCGCTCGCTGCTTGGCCACGCCCCCGCAGAAGCCACGCCCACACCACCGCCCCCGCGTGGAGCTCCATACATTTGTTGGCTCCGCCCCCACCCGGATGCCCCGCCCACAGCATGACAGCCTATGGGGAGCCTCGCTCCCTGCTCAGCCACGCCCCTATGGAAAGCCCCGCCCACTTTTGGCCCCGCCCTGTGGCCGTCCCTCCCACCTGGAAGCCCCGCCCACGCTTTGGCTCCTCCCCTTTCGGCCCCATTCACAAAACCCCTCCCTTTCCACAAGCCCCGCCCACTCACCCGCCCCTCCCATTTTCCATAAGCCCCGCCTCCAGCACCCCGCACCCACCTACCGCGGGCCCCCCCCCGCCCCCACCCCCCGTTCCCCGTCCCCACCTCGCGCCGGGAGATGTCCATGAGCACGGCAAAGCTCGTCATGTGGTTGCACTGGCAGCTGACGTGGCTCTGGTTCCGGAACACAACTTCACAGCCCCGCGCCGACCAGCCGCCCGCACCGCCTGCCCTGCAACCAACAGGGACACCCCGCAATGGGACACCCTGCAATGGGACATCCTGCTATGGGACATCCTGCTATGGGACATCCTGCTAT